GCCCTCGCCCTGATCGCCTCCATCCGCTACTCGGTCGGGGAAGTGATGAGCAGCCTGGCCATGATCGAGAGCCCCTCCTCGACCGCCATCATCGAACCCAAGGCCTCTCCTTACGCAGACCACGCACCGCCCGCATACGCAGACGCCGAGAAAGAGTCCTTTATACCCTCTGAGGCCGAGCCGGACGTCGAAGTCACCGTTATCGCACACAAGCCCATTACGAGCAAGGTTGTGACCACGATGGGCCACCTCCAGCGTATCGGTGGCTTCCGTGCCCGGTGGAGGGGTCTCGGTCTCAGCATCCTCTACCATGGCCTTCACGGTACCTTTTCAAACCTGCTGGCCGGCGTCATGGGCTTTGGCCTTGTGGGCCACTTCATCAGCTACATTGTCGTCTCCCTCGGACTCGCTCGCATCCACATGGTCTGGACACACAGCATGATCGCCTACCCCTCTACCAAGTCCTTCTGGCGCCGTATTGTGCCGAGGAAGCAGTGCAAGGCCATTCTGCTGCCCTCGCTTGTCTTCGCGGTGGCGCAACAAGCTACTATTGGACTGCCCCTCATGGTAGCGCTCGCAATGGGTCTACCGGAAATCAAGCACGAGCACGTCATGGCGACCGCGCAGCACGAGAACTGCGGCAAGATGGTCCTGCTCGCTCTTCGCTTCTTGGCTGTCCCGGCAACCGCGATTTTTGTCGTGCTTGCCGTACTCCTCCCTGCATCCATGACCCTTACCCGCATCGAAGCCACTCTCCTTCCGGAAGATGAGCAGACTATCGTGCCATTCGACAGGGAGGCCATCGTTGGCGAGCTCGATCTGTCCGTCCGCGGCAGCAGCAAGGCACTCTTTGTCCAGGCTTGGCGTTCAATTGACCGCTCCGCTCGCCTGAGAGTGGTCAAGATGTACGCAAAGATGGTACTGGCACAGTTCACGATCGTAGTCATCGGTCTTCACCTTGCCATGGCTGAGCTGTACGTCATCGGTGGCGAGAGGCTGGCGGTGTTGATCAAGAGCGGCGCGGCGCAGGTGAAGCTCATGGCCATTGAGGTCCATCAGCAGGCGCAGGCGGATGCGATGAACAACTGAACATCCGGAACTTGATTCCCTTTGGCGAGCGTCGACACACGCGCACACCTCAGTCAGAAACCCACTGGAGGCCGTCTAGCAGCTATGCCACCGACCGAGAGCACGTTTGTGTTCGCGCTCGCCACAACCCCTTGTCAGATCATACAACCACTGACCCTACCACGGCCCGGCAAACACAGCAACCACTGCCGCGAACCTCTTGTCATCCTACTTAGCTGGGGAATGGAGTAATTGAATTCCACGGAGTTTGACTTTGCCTGGCTTAGAGAGCTTAGGATGTACCGTATCATAGCAAACCTACACATTATTTTACGCTGACCTCGTGCACTCCGTGTCTGTCGTGCGCATTGCGTATATGTCCCTTGCATGAATATACCTTACTCAACTCACGCGCCACTACCTGTCCGTCCCTTCTGATCGTCCGGCCCGCCTCCGCACCCAGTCGGTGGAGTGGGGCGGTGGCTTGCTGATCGCTTGTCCCACTTCCGCTCGTGCACGCACGTCTCCAAACACTCCATGGTCAATGAACAAAGAGACGTCGCCGCCTTTCCCGTATACACTCGTTTTGTAGAGCTGCTTCGCCGTCTGCATCCCGTCTAGAAGCTTCATGATGGCGACTGCAGCGGTCCTGGCACCCATCATTGACCTCACAACTTCAGCAACATATAACATCCGCCTCGGAGACAGCGTTCTCAAGGCTGGGGACGCTGCCAGGAGCTGGGCCAGCGTCAGGTACAATCATAAGCCCGCACTCGTGAGCCGGGAGCAAGCAGTATGCTCGATCAGAAGCACAGGCAGGAAGGACGGAAGCGAGCTGTTGCTGAAGGATGGCGGGAAAGAATACAGGTACTCTGGCGATAGTACCAAGACCGAGCATCGTTACGTCCTGTTGCTGCGAGGCGAGGGCGAGGATAAGGAAGCAGTTCTGGAGCAGCTGGACTGGAGTCACGCTTTCAACCTCACCAGCACATCCGAGGAGAAAGCCGCAGGAAAGCTGAGGGAGTTGTACCCACATCTCACACCCGAGCACGACGCCGATGCCTCCAACCTTCACAACGGAATCAGCACGGCGGAAGCGCCAGCGGACCCAGCCAACCCGTTCGACTACCGCCACTTCCTCAAAGCCGCTGCTTCCGCCGCGCCTGCAAAGACCAGGCGACCGGATGCAGGCGCGCCTCGCAGCGGCACAGCGACACCTACCCTGAACTCGCGACCACCGAATTCTGCTTCCCTCGCGCGACCGCTCAAGCGAGCCGCAGGCTCGCCCCTCGTCCAAGGCCAGAAGAAACGCAGGGCCCCTACTTCGACCGATCGAGCCGCAGACCCCAACCGCGTGCAAGCGAACAAGGATCGTCCGTCCACCCCCAACCTTCCAAACCCACCCACGTCCAAGGCCCCGCCACCGAGGATCCGCGTAGACCGCAAACCCTCTCTACGTAAGCTCCCGCACCAAGACGAAGACGACGACGACGATAACGACGATTC